TTATTGTCGGGAGAGTACAAATTTCATTGCATTTGCCCGCCGGGCAAGTGCAGTGATCGCAAAAAAGTATTTATCACTCAAAATTACTTTAAAATCACCGACATTAGCTGAAAACGACCCAGCCGGCGCCATTTTTGTTGTTTTGTACGCCATCTGGCGGAAAATCTCGCGGCTTTTTCAAATCACGCGAGATTTTCCGCCAGATGGCGTTTTTTTTGTCAACCTAGTGGTAACTTTGATGTAGTTACCAAAACCACAAACAAGCTAGAAAGCGCTATCATATGGCAGTCTTCTGTACAGTGGTCATACATTAAAAAATGTTCATTAAATTTTTTCCTCTCAGACATTGGAGAGGTGCAAAGCAGCAAAACATGCGGAAATGATCCATGGTTTCAGCGAATCATTAAAAATAGTTGCAATTCATTAATTTTTTTGGATTTTTTCAGTAATTTTATTATTTTTTTAAATTCATAAATTTTTATAATTTTTATTTTTATGTTTTATTATTCGGTGTAACAATAAACATATATCGAACCGAAAACCGTGACCATGAAACCGTGAACCGAACCGTGGATTTTGTGAACTATTCCACCCCTAATATATATATATATAGGTTCTGACTGAATAGGTTCAGTAAGAAGAAGTGTCTTAACATTTTAACTTGGAATTACAGCTTTGAAATAGTTAATAAATCACCAGCAATTTAACAGTGTTCGACAGTATAAAACATACAACACAAAGTATTGCTTGTTTGTGGGGGTTAGAAAAGGACAGAGAAATTTCCACTTTGCCAAAAGCGTGTCATATGAGCAGCTAAAAACCCACAGAGGCAGCTGAATGAACCCCCGCTGCTCCCCCTGTCAGAACTGAAACCTCCCAAACACCCACACTCAGAAAAAAAAAGGCTCACTCTCTCTACTGTTTTGATTTTTTGCTGTATTGAATTGATTTGCTCTCAATTTTAAAAAAGGTTGTTTGATCTTGACAGATAAAAAAACAAACCTTCAGGTTGAATTCATGGGGACTATAACTATGGGAACGTTGGAATAAAGTGTAAAGGTGTGAAAGCATGAAAAATTACCTTTAAAATGTTATTTTTAACCACAAACAACAACGTCTGGGATTCCCCCAAACAGACCTGACCACAGATACAATTATGTAGATTTCACACTAATGTGCTGTCAGTAAAAAATAGTGAGAAACAGCGGGGTCACTGCAGAGTTTCCCTCATGTTTACTGTTTTAAGGGAAATCACATGGTAAAAAAAAAAAAACACAAAGAGAATGAAGTCATCCCTTCAACTACGTCAGCTTGTAAAAGTATTTACATCCCTTTAACTAAGTATAATTGTCATAATCATAAACTGATGCATTTTATTGAGAATTTAAGTTGCAAAACCGATTCAAAGGGATTAATAATTGTGAAATAAAAATAAAAAAACCTCAATTGTTTATTGAAAATTGTTTGTAAAAAAATATTGTTGGATTTCTCCGTTGTCATGCCCATACAGTCTGTAACATGCAAAGCCTTCAGCCTCTTAAGGAGGATCTTTAATCCATCATCTGCAAAGGGAGGAAGGACTGCAAAGCCGAATCCCAGGATTAATCAGAGAAGCAGATGTTGGTGATAACTACAGTAAAATGGACATTGATAATGGGCAAAAACTGTCGCTGGAGATTAAAACAGCTTATGTTTGAATTAGTTTTGAATCCTTCTTTTTCATAAGGATGTCTTATTGAGATTAAAGTATTCTTAAAATAAAGGAAGCCTGGAATACATTTCAGAAATGTTATTTATTTATTAAAAGAAAATTGGATCAGAAGAGACAGATATATTCCATAATGCTTTGTGCGGAAAGGCTAATAACAAAGATGATATATGTGTGTGTGTGTGTATATATATATATAGATATTTACAAGAATATCTCAAGTGAATATCACTCGAGATATTCTTGTAAATCCACCAGGAAATGTTTGTAGTATAAATGATTTTTAAACATTTTTCTGTGACTATGAAATATGATAAGGGAATAGTTTGACTAAATGTTAAAATAAATTATTTGGTGGCAGTCAAATGGTAGCTGGTATGAGGTGAAATGTGTTCCATTATCTAAATAAAACAAAATGCAACCCAGGAATTAAACTTTAAAACAATTTTTTATATAAATAAAAAGCAGTCAGAGAAAAAAACAGTTTTACTCTTTAAACCTTCTATTAATAAAATGTTTTCAAAAAAATCGTATTTCTTTAAAAATTTGTCTTTTTTTTTCAAATTTCTGTTACTCGAATGCTACTGTTACTAGAATGAGTTAAGAATTGCATTATTTTCTCTTCTTGGGGCGGGCTTTCCTCTGGAATAAGGAGCAAAGATGCATTTCTATTGGTCTGCTGGATGCTAGCTACGCTATTGTATGGTCAATGTGAACGTGAAAAGAAAATTGTAAAAAAAAAAAAAAAAAGGAATCAAATTTTAAATGAAAAAAAATGTATAATATATATAGATATATATATATATACACAGTATATGAAATACATTTTTTATCGAGTCAATTGTGGATTACCTTTCATTTCAATTTTAAAAAGTGTTTTCTTTGCTTACAACAATAACAGAACAAAATTCACTCCGCATTGGAGCTGGTACTCAAAGGAATGAGTTAAGAATTGCATTCTCTTCTCTTCTNAAAAAAATATTGTTGGATTTCTCCGTTGTCATGCCCATACAGTCTGTAACATGCAAAGCCTTCAGCCTCTTAAGGAGGATCTTAAATCCATCATCTGCAAAGGGAGGAAGGACTGCAAAGCCGAATCCCAGGATTAATCAGAGAAGCAGATGTTGGTGATAACTACAGTAAAATGGACATTGATAATGGGCAAAAACTGTCGCTGGAGATTAAAACAGCTTATGTTTGAATTAGTTTTGAATCCTTCTTTTTCATAAGGATGTCTTATTGAGATTAAAGTATTCTTAAAATAAAGGAAGCCTGGAATACATTTCAGAAATGTTATTTATTTATTAAAAGAAAATTGGATCAGAAGAGACAGATATATTCCATAATGCTTTGTGCGGAAAGGCTAATAACAAAGATGATATATGTGTGTGTGTGTGTATATATATATATAGATATTTACAAGAATATCTCAAGTGAATATCACTCGAGATATTCTTGTAAATCCACCAGGAAATGTTTGTAGTATAAATGATTTTTAAACATTTTTCTGTGACTATGAAATATGATAAGGGAATAGTTTGACTAAATGTTAAAATAAATTATTTGGTGGCAGTCAAATGGTAGCTGGTATGAGGTGAAATGTGTTCCATTATCTAAATAAAACAAAATGCAACCCAGGAATTAAACTTTAAAACAATTTTTTATATAAATAAAAAGCAGTCAGAGAAAAAAACAGTTTTACTCTTTAAACCTTCTATTAATAAAATGTTTTCAAAAAAATCGTATTTCTTTAAAAATTTGTCTTTTTTTTTCAAATTTCTGTTACTCGAATGCTACTGTTACTAGAATGAGTTAAGAATTGCATTATTTTCTCTTCTTGGGGCGGGCTTTCCTCTGGAATAAGGAGCAAAGATGCATTTCTATTGGTCTGCTGGATGCTAGCTACGCTATTGTATGGTCAATGTGAACGTGAAAAGAAAATTGTAAAAAAAAAAAAAAAAAGGAATCAAATTTTAAATGAAAAAAAATGTATAATATATATAGATATATATATATATACACAGTATATGAAATACATTTTTTATCGAGTCAATTGTGGATTACCTTTCATTTCAATTTTAAAAAGTGTTTTCTTTGCTTACAACAATAACAGAACAAAATTCACTCCGCATTGGAGCTGGTACTCAAAGGAATGAGTTAAGAATTGCATTCTCTTCTCTTCTAGGGGCGGGCTTTCCTCTGGAATAAGGAGCAAAGATGCATTTCTATTGGTCTGCTGGATGCTAGCTAGCAATGTCAGTCTTGTATTAAATGTCAGTCTTGTATATTTCTTGTACATTTGTATATTGCAGAGAGTAAACGTAATTTCATTTCCCTTGTATGTCTTGCACATATGTAGAAAATGACAATAAAAGCTGACTTGACTTGACTACACTATTGTACTGGTCAATGTGAACGTAAAAAGAAAATTGTAAAAAAAAAAAAAAAAAAAGGAATCAAAATTTTTAACTTTAATTTGAATTTTTAAAAGTGTTTTCCTTGCTAACAACAATAACGGAACAAAATTCACTCCATATTGGAGCTGGTAGCCAAAGGGAGGCTGAGGTAATGTGGAGGTTTAAGCTGTAAAGTTGTATTAAAGAAAAATGAACCAACAAAGACTTCGGGCCGGATCAATCAACTATAATAGTAAAAAAAATAAAATACTGAACACAGATTATAACATATCTGGATTTATTGATTAAAGATCATGAACACAAAGACAAAAACATCTGATTGCATGTAAATATCAATGCCTTTCATCCTCTAATCTGGAATGTCAGTATTCATATATAAATGCACTCACAGAGGCAGAATGGTTGGAATCTCAAGTGGCTTTTTCAGTGGAAGGGAAAACAGGAAATGAAATGAAATAAAACATTCCAGCTGCTGACAGAGCATTGCTTGGTTTCATCCCCAGTCTCTCACTATGGCAGCCTATTAAAAATACAATAACACAAAAGGCATTAATGACCTTTGTATTGAACCGTTTCACTCAGTCAGCAAACACTCTTCCAATGGAGACAG